TAGAATTCAAAAACTTTTTAACATTACTCAATACTACATCTAGTTCTGTCCAATATTAAGATTCAATATTTTCGAAATCTAGAAACTTATCCTCCATATGTATGCTTCTAACAATACCCGAATTTTTCTTGTCGACTTCAGAAGGAGGGAGTGAATATTATAAAAATGAAGCTCTCCTTCAAAGGAATCGGCTTCTTTTAGAAAATCAACATTTTATTACATAGAATATTCTAAGTTGATGTTATCGGCCAAATAAACTAATTGTTGAATCTCAAGAAGATTAGATAAACCAAGGTCACAAGTAGGCATATCCTGGAAGAAGTTACAAATTCACATACAAACTAACAAGTGATATCTTTATTCATATAATGAAAAAAATTGTGTCATCAGTACTTCGAGAGAAGTGAACTATTAGAAATTAATAGAAGATAAAAATGTTATCTATATTGTGTACATATCTAAAGCATTTAGCCCTATGAGCAACAACTACTAAAATAGTTGTGGGAACGAAATTCTCGAGGAGTAAAAAAAGACACTAACATTTAACAAGTTTGAAACAAATTGCTTTCTTGGGATAAACTATAATGCAAGATACTTACAAGATACAACCCTCCTCCATTGTCTTTCCTAAGGTAGCCCCAATGATTTTTATGTCCTGATCTCGTTCATTTAAACTAATAATTACATCTCCAGCTACTAAATTATTAATGTTCAAAACTGTCAAATGAAAAAGTTGAACAGTGGATTGGGAAAAATAAAGAATTATTTCAATTCTAGCTGCACTTCCACTGCTAAAAAAAGGATGTTTGGGACTATCTTGAACAAGATTCAATATATATGCTGGAGATGTGAACAAAAACTTCAAAGCATTTACCATAGTACACTCAGCAACTTAACTCTAGGAGAGAATATCCAAATCTTAATTCTTTTACTGGTGAAAACAGCTATAACTAAAGAGTAACTTAGTGAGAAACATCACTGGTAATTTGACATGATTTTCTTTTATTATTTACACTTTGACACAAAATGTTTACAAGGGCACAAAAATTAATCTGCCTGTGTAAGATTTTTTATGTATATCATGACTCAAGAGATTAGTAAAACTTAAGGCTGTGCATAGTAAATAAAGAAAAATAAAGTTAAGTTACAGTTATGTAAAAATTAGAGGAAAAAAGAACAATGCACTAATTTCCATTCGTTTAATACTAAAAAAAGTGAAAGAGGATATTCGGAATTAAATCCTCAAATGAAATGAAATTGAAAATCCAAAACTGAATTTGGTGACTAATGAAGCTAAACAACATTTTGAATTCGACTGAAATTTAAAGGGCACTTCTTCAAAACAATGGCAATACAAATAACCTTTTTTCCTTATTAAAATAGAAGTACATTTTTTCGTGATGGATGGTCAATGAAGTTTGTAAGAAAGTCATCAACTTTAATGATTTGTGTAACTACATAATTTACTTATAACTAACGGAGAAGGAAGAAAATAAATAGAGAAGAAAAAGTAAAAGGAAAGGAAGCACTTCTATTGAGACTTGCAGTTCGAAAATAGCTAATTTGTTCTAGAATTTTGTTACTTACAATATTTGGCTAGTGAAATTTTCCGGTGAACAATACCTTGAGCGTCAATAAAAATGTAAGAGGGAAGATAACAACTAATCCTGCAATATTGAAAACAATAAATAGCATGACTTCAAAGTTAATCATTTAAAAACTTCACAAGAATTAAATTGTTTTCCTTTCCTACATTCATTCCAAATTAAAAGTAAATATAGCATCAAAAAATTGCACAGTACAAAAAAGAAAAAAGGAAAAAGAAGAAGAAGAATTGAGTAGTGGAGATTATAAAATAGTAACTATGATCAAAAGTAATCACAATTAAGATAGCGTAAATACGGTAAAATCGTGATGATGGACAGTTTATTTGATAAATTTCATATACATGTCATAGTACTTTTATAATTTGAGATCATATTCATATTCAAGATAACAAAGATAACAGAATCCAAACGCTCATTATTTAATAAATCTTTTCAGTTTATCGATGTGAAATTACAACTGGTAATTTTCGTCGTTTCTGAAATCAAGTTCTCAAATTTGAACAAGATTAATCAAAAAAAAAAAAAAAGAAGAAGAAAGAAATAAATAAATAAACTTTTTACATTACCTGAAAGTAAAAAATTAAATCCCCAATCCACTGAAAGCCCAGTGTTGAAATTAAGTAAAGAGTATATTGAGTTTGTTCTATTACAGTTTCTAACCACTGCTCTAAAGAAGGGGAAAATGCAACAACAAAAAACTTGCTCTATTTCAAAGTCAACAAAATAAAAATTGAAGCACACCAAAACATAATCGTTACACATTCATTGCTTAGTATAGAAAAGGAGTTAGAGAATCACTCCGTAAAGACTTTGAAAGCAAAATTATTGGCAAAATATCTAGTCTTGAATACAATGCGGAGGTCGACATATGAAACAGACAGTAGGATAAATGGAAGTGAAATAAGTTTTGTGGAAGGAAGAATCGGGTTGTGGTTTAAGTTGTTTGGAAGAGAGTGAAGATGGCAGAGCGTTGAAGAGAAGGGCTGATGGAGGAGGAAGGCTAGAATTCAATTGGAACGAGGTGTAAATAATCCTCCTTTTACAGAACCAGTTTGTGAATAGTAGACAAACCAGTTTAGGTGGGAAATAGAGGGTGCAGAAATGAACAATAAATCCTCATCCCCTCTTTTAATATAGTAGTTTATGAAGATTCTATAATACCTCCATTATTATGGAGGCTCAAGCAAATGTCTCCGTTACTATAGAGGCTCATGCATGAGCCTCCATTATTATAGAGGCTTAACGGTGGCTCAAGCATGAGTCTCCATAATAACAGAGGCTCAACACTTTTGAGCCAAATGCCTCCGTAATTACGGAGGTACAAATTTCATTTTTTTTTTCCTTCACTGGCTCTCAATACAACAATTTAATTTCATTTAATTAACTTAGTTTTTTTAATAGACGTGATTCCTAAAATCAATATATAAAATATATATCAATTTTTTATATATACAGAGATTATATAAATTCTCCAAATGAGCAGAAATGTAGATAAATGATAGACATATTAATCACATTTTCAATCGTATTATTTGAGTGCAATCAAATAATGCGTGAAACATGTTAGATCAAATAGTCACTCACTTCGATAGTTCAATAATTTTTTCTCCTCATTTTTGTTTTTGGGAAGTGTAAGATCAGGCTTTTTCGGTAACATATTGTCAATTTCTCCAACCAGTGTTAATCTATTCTTCTATTTCTATACCCAATTCTATTTTCTCTCTTATTTACCAACTTATTTCATCCACATTTCAATGATTCCCAAATATCTAAAATTAAACAATACAACACCATTCCTTCATTGGAACTTCTTAATTGAAATATAATATTCATAAGAAATTTGCACACACATTACGCAAATAGATACAGTATTCCACCAAAAAAATTGTTTTATATTCACTTGATAGAAATCGCGCGCGCGCGCGCGTGTGTGTATATATATATATATATATTTTATATGTTTTGATACGAATCCATTGCATACTATATTTTATATGTTTTGATACGAATCCTTGAAAAAAAAAAAAAAAAAAAGAAGAAGAAGAAGACATTAACAACAAAAATTCGAAATGAAACCAATTCACATAAAACGCAAGAAAAAAATCAATCAAGTTCCGTTAAATGAAATTAAGCAGCCATCCATAAATTTCAATAAAAACAAGAATAAGAATTAAAATTCAGAACAATCAGACCTCAATCAATCTATACAAAATATACAATAAATAATTTGCGTGGTAAAATGGAGAGAACATGTAGTAACGTCTGAAAATGGAGAAGAATAAAGAAAGATCCACTTAAATTGAGGACAAGTGGGTGCATCATTGTAGTCCGCACGTTTTTTTTCTTTAGATGGCATCGTTTTTGCTCTAGAGATGAAAAAAATTGCTGTGAAATGGAAGAATCTATTGTTCTTTCTACAGTAGCGAAATATGCCATTTTTATATGGTAGTGAAAACCCACACACAATAAAAAATATTAATTTTTTCAAAGTAGCTACATCATGTGTGAGATTATTATTATTTTTTATTAGATTGAATATTATCGCGTATCCACGATAACAATAACACGCTAATTTCTCTTAATGCATATAATTAAATTCAATCTCGATAATTTTCGTTTCTCTTTGAATTATGATAATTGTGCTTACCGTTGAGTACATGATTGAGTAAATAAAATGTGCTAAGACAAGAAGCCAATTTTGCAAAATTTGCACTTAATTTTGTAATGAAAAATTATCTAAGTTCTTTGACAAAGAATAATACATTCACGTGACAAAAATACAATCAATTTAAAAGAGTGATATACATAAAAAATCAAAATGTATCATTAGAATTTGCTTTTACCTTTATTCAGAACTACAAATAATACTATGCTTTTTCCCATTTATGTAAAAATGAAAATGAAAAATATAGTCGTTATGAGCCTCATATAAGGGATAGAAATTCAAATATGGTGACTTGATATGATGGATAACGATCATATTTTTCATTTTAATGGAGGAAAAAATGAGAAACAAATATGGGCTAAATTGAAAATTGTATTATTTTTTGCTCAAGATTACTTGTTAAATTGCCTCAATGAAACAAATCGCTCCTACCTTGACTTCTTGTTCATTTGAAATTAATCTTATGAAAGAACCTAAATATACATTTAACATTCGGCTCGAAATGGACTAATGAAGCCCCACTTTGAAACCCATTTTTTGGAGAAAATATACTTTTAAATAGTGATTCTTTGGAGAACATGTTATTAAAACGGTAAACTTTTGAATCTTCGTATAAAATTATTTTATTGTTTAATTGAAAATGAGTTCGTAAAAAATGAAGATGAAACAAGGGCGAATAAATTGTTTTTATACCCTCCTTTTCTTTTTATTTTCACGAGTACCTCTTTATTTTCTTTTCTCGGTAATAAATAAAGCGGGAAAAGGCACACTCCATAGAGTGAAAATTCTTCAATTCAGAGCACACAGGCTACCGAGGAAGAAGCGATGGCGCCACTGTTGCAGAGCTCTCAGCCATGGGTGGAAAAATAGTATACAAATTCCTTCCTCTCTTATTCGCTATTTATCAAATCCCCCCTTTATTCTGGTTTCCTGATTTATATATACTGTTTGTATATATTTGCAGTCGACCAAAGCAAGTTAAAGACGTGGCTCACCAAGACGAAGTCGTTCGAGTCCTCACCAACACCCTCGAGACCACCAATGTAATATTCATTATTTGTTTTTTATGAATTTTTCAGTATGACTAAATTTCCAGTATCAATAATATTAGGGTTATTTTTTACTAATTTTGTAGTGTTTTCCATGATCTTTACACTTTTAACTTTTAATGACATTGATTTTTTTTCCAGTGTTATTAATTTATGGGTGTTTTTATTAATTCTGTAGTGTCCGCACATGTTATTTTATGGGCCTCCGGGTACTGGTAAAACAACTACTGCTCTGGCCATTGCTCATCAGCTGTTCGGGTACTATCTGTTTATGTTTTCATAATTATTTCTTTGGGTTATTCATGATGTATACTGTTACTACAATGCTTTTCTTCTTTTTGTGTTTAAGTCTCAGTTATTTGAGGAAGAGAAGTCAAAGAAATATAACTGCTGGATGTTCCTTGATAGTTAATTAGAACAGTGTGAGCACCATGTAATCCTTTGATGGTATATTGGGGCTTTACACGAGGTCCTCATAAACAGCTTTCCAGAATTTTCTGGAAATGAGGTTAATTGGGTAATATTAGTAAATGAAGTTACATCTATCTTGATAGTTGATATATCTTACCCTTAAACATTCACTATTTGAATCTTAATTGATTCTGGCACTCTGGGAAA